CCATGGTAGCAGCCTGGCCAAAGCGTTCAGTTGTTGGTGGGGTCTTTTAAGAGAAAAAGAGAGCAATGTTACAATAGAACCTATGCCCCAAGCTTCCCACTCATCTGTAATACCTCCCCTGAAGGCCATTTCCACTCAACTATTCAAAGCTCTTTTTTTAAATGTTTATTTTTGAGAGAGAGAGAGCACAAGTGGGGGAGGTACAGAGAGAGAGGGGGAGAGGATCCAAAGCAGGCTCTGCACTGACAGCAGCAAGCCTGATGTGGGGCTTGAACTCACGAACCGTGAGATTGTGACCTGAGCCGAAGTCGATGCTCAACCAACTGAGCCACCCAGGCACCCCAACTACTCAAAGCTCTTGATGTGCTAGGGGTGACTAAGCCTGTTTAAAATCCCAGTGGACATCCTTGGGGCACCTAGGTGGCTGAGCCGGTTAAGTTTCCAACTCTTGGTTTCACCTCAGGTCATAATCTCCCAGTTTGTGGGATGGAGCCCCATGTCTAGATCTGCGCCATGCAGAGCCTGCTTGGGATGCTCTCTCTCTCTCTCTGCCCTTCCCCTACTCATGCACTCTCTCAAAATAAACATTAAAAAATAAAGAACTCAAGTGGATATCCCTGAAAAGAAGGCTGTCTGAATTACAGACCCACCCAACTATCCTACCCTTATCTTTTTATCCCTATTCCTATTAAATAATATTACATCCTGAATTCCCAGGTTGAATAATTTCTAGTTAAGTCTTTTCTCCTGAACTAAGTATATGAACAAGGACATGCCATCATTCTTCGGCAACATTAAGCCATCCAGTTTTAAAGTTCTGATGCTATGACTATTAATTCAGGATTGTATGAGCCATAAAGCCTTGTGGATTTACATCTATTTTATGTGATAATACCTAAGTTTCATTGCCTTCCCTCCAGAAAAAAAAAAAACCCATTAACCCAAGGTAGCAACTAAACAGAAGGCATTTACTTAACTCCTAGACAAAGTATAGTTTGAGAATGGGTTTGTTCAAATCAAGACCTTGAGATTACATTTAATGGAAAACAGTGGTCTTAAAAACTATAGCAAAACTGTGGCAGACAGGGACTTTGAAAGCAAAGTCCTTTCTCCTATCATCATTTAGAATCTGTAAGGCTCCACAGTTTATTACCAATCCCAAGGTTCCATCTGGCATCATAGTGGCAGGTCCTGGAGGAGCTGGGGTACCAGCTGGCACTGGAGCAGGGGGCATGGCGCCTCTGTTGTTTATGCCCATAGCACCTAAAGCAGAGCAGTGTGATCAGTACAGGAGACAGAGATTGTCAATCTCTGTGCGAGAGGAAACAATTCAACAAGACCTCTGAGCTAAGGACACGTTACCCCACCCAAAAACGATGCTCCCAGAATGTCAGCCCCTTAAATCTGGACAATGTCCGAGAAGCTACATAGTTTACCAGAAATGAAACAAAAAAGGAAATCAGAACCATTAATCTCGTAAGTCCTTACCTCCCATGGCCATCTGGCCCATCCGTATCTCCTGTTCTCTCTGAAAAATAAGAAATACTCAAGACAGTCCAAGACAGCACTGCATTCTACCATTCACAGTATACTGAGGACACACACTAAGGGAAGCAGATAGAGTGATCAACACGTTCCAAGTACACGGAGACCAAGCTGAGGAAAACCAATATCTCCTTGCTAGTTGTGCAGTGGGTTCAAGGTTAGACCTACAAGGACTCAAGTCAGAGTCCCCTATTAGGAACAAAAGGAGAGGTAAAAGCCAAGGGGAAAGACAGTTGATTTCTTCTAGGACCCCAGTATGTGCAACAACTCCAAGGACACCAGAGAGCTAGTCAAGGCTGCTATAGGACTGGACAGCTCTCACTGGGCAGTCACTGAGTCTAAACAGTATACACTGGCCCCAGCTCTTCATCCTAAATTGCCTATGAGACAAGAACTCCTCTTCAAACCTTATCTTTCCTTCCTATGAATTCTTCTAAAAGAGGAGTTTCATAGAATACAAAAACTGCTCATAACCTGTAATGTTTTAAAGTCCAAGTGGACATTTGGTGGGTCTGTCATATCAGGACTGCCCTGGCACATCATGGGCACATGGGAGATATACCGCATCAGGGAATGTTCCCTTGAATCCTTCCTGCTGTCGCCGCATCATTTCTTCCTGCTGCCGCCGCATCTCTTCTTCACGGCGCCTGCGCTCTTCCTCCTGCCTACAGAGAGTCACCAAGATATTTAGGCAGAGACATTCCAGAACTTGAGCAGATTATCTTAACAGGGACTCAGCCAAGGAAATTAAGAGCCTACTGAAAACTATCATAGCTTTCCAAAAAATTCACTGTAAATGTGTCCAGCCCTAAAGCAAGTTCTTTCACAAAGGAGCCTCATGAGATCGGCACTCAGCTGCTTTACCTTTAGTGCAGCTCTGGATAATTCCTAGAACCATGGGCAGCCAAAACATTTCCCATCCAAAGGGAGAACTTGAGAAGCAGCCAGGAGATATTTGCCAACACATTTACAAATGCATGAGGTAGCACGGTGGTAGGAAACAGTAATGAGACATTACCTTTTAGAGGGATCAGAAAAAAAGGGTTTGAGAGTTAGTTACCTGAGCTCCAGTTGCTTTCGTTTTTGCACCTCTTGGTTGTGCAGCTCTTCCATCCTCCGGAGTTCTTCTTGACGCCTCATCAAATCTAGAAAAACAATAGACTAATTTAGAGTATTCTTCATTCTCCTCATACAGACCCAATAATTTTCCATAAATAAAGATCCAGAAAGCAAAGGGGATATATAATCCCTGAGTGGTCATCTGAGCCATCCAGATTCCAAAAATGAAGTCAAACGTATGATTTCTTTCTCCATAGAATCCAGTATTCTCTGCCACATCTCCAAGCTCATTTGACTACCAAGATCAACAAAATATTTCAGAGAATAAAAGCAGAGGTTTAGGCCTTTTTCTACTGAATGATACAAAGACCCTTCTGAAAAAAGCCATTTTGTTCTTGTTCTAGGTTTAAGACTTACAGGCCTATACTCACCCTGTCTCATTAACATGACTTGGTGCTCATGGCGAGCAGCCTCCATCTCCATCTCCAGCTTCTCACGAGCTTCCTTGATGTTGCGGTCCACTTGGTCCTGCTGCTGCTTCTCCATCTCAATGAGTGCCTTCCAGCGCATGGCATACTCATACTCAAAGGAGCCAGGCTGTGCAAATCTGGGTGGCTGTTCTCGCTCCCTATAGACAAAGTTCCTGGGCTATTAAAACTCTGTCAAAGATTCCCCCAACTAAGCACTGCATTCCTTCTGAGGGCCATTGCCAGTGAATACATATAGCAAAGACCTGCCTCTTTTATACATCCCTTTACGAGCTTCCTTAAGAATAGACAAACACCTAACACGGAAGTGATGGGACCACATACTTATGAAATTGCTGGTTCTTTATAACCAGCTTCTCTGGAAGTCCCTCTTCATCATCCAACTGGTCCATGGGCTCCACAGTCACAGGCCGAGGAAATCTGGAAGCAAGCAGCTCAGCATTAATCAAATTATACCCTATACCAGGCTTCCTCTCTACACCGGTCACTGGCACAGCAAACCAGTCAGGGGTCAGGACTGAACAATTAAACATATTTCTGAAGGGGTTTTTACACCAAGCCCCAAGTAACCAAGGTCTTTTGATGGCATTATGTGGAATCTGGAGTTGAAAGGATGGAGTCAAGCTTTAGATCTCTGAATATAGCCTCAAAGATGTTCAAAGTAAATAGGATACTTAAGTACAGCCTAAATATCCAGTATCTAGAGAATACCAGACAATCACTTGGAATAAATACATGCACATGTGTTTTGCATGCACAAAACAACTTTTCAGAATTCTTTTTATTACTTTTTAAATTTTATTTTTGAGAGAGAGACAGAGACAGAGAGCAAGCAGGGGAAGTGCAGAAAGACAGAGACAGAATCTGAAGCCGGCTCCAGGGTCTGAGCTGTCAGCACAAAGCCTGACACGGGGCTCAAACCCACAAGCAGTGAGATCATGACCTGAGCCAAAGTTGAATGCTTAACCGACTGAGCCACCCAGGTGCCCCAACTTTTCGGAGTTCTAAGACTTCAAGGTAAAGGGAGATTTAACGCTGACTAAATGACAACCTACTAAAAGACTAAAAGGTTTTTTTTAATATTTATTTATTTTGAGAGACAAAGAGAATGTGTAGGGGGAAGGGGCAGAGAACGGGAGAAAGAATCCCAAGCAGGCTCTGCGTGGACATGGGACTTGATCTCATGAACCAGGAGATCATAACCTGAGCCAAAATCAAGAGTTGGGCACTTAACTGACTGAGCCACCCAGGCTCCCCTGAAAGGTTTCTTAATCCTTATACTATTTTCATTAATTTTACACTGAAAACCCTACTAGAGAGCTGAAGTAGTATCCAAAGTCTTTAAGTGAACATAAGAACATGGTTCCTAGGGGCTAACTCTCCATACCACTGAAAGAAGTAGCAATCTAAATTCTATTTCTAAAAGCAACCCCTACTTACGTGGTTAACAGGAAGGAGCCTTCACTGCACCTGTCCAGAGCTTTCCGAGCAGCTGGCTTCCCTGAGAATTCAACAATGCCTTTTCCTGAGGGCCTTCCTCTATCATCCACGATGACTACAGCCCTTTCCACTTGGCCAAACACAGAAAAAGCTTCCTCCAGCAGTTCGTTAGAAACATACTGAGGAAGGTTTCGGACCGTGAGCGATGCACTATGGCAGGCAAAGCGCACACGCAGCTGCTTTCCACGAAGTGGCATGTTGTCCAGCTCTACTTTGGCAATCTCTGCTAGGGTTCGTGTTTCCTAGGAAGCAGACAGACATCAGAATAACTCAGTTTTGACAAAGACCACATCACAGCCATCGAGAGTCTAAAGTAGCATAGCTCAAAACAAAATGCCTCCCCCCCTAAAACCTTGACAACACACATATAAAGGAACCTTGATAGTACTGAAAGAATAGAGCTAGGTTTCAGATAAATCTTTGGATAATAAATAGATAAACCTAACTGTTCTGATAGCCTTGCAATAAATCGATTGGGAATTCTAGAAGTAAATACTACTTACATGGTCATCAGTATCATAGGTTATTCTCCCAAGTGGTAATAGATCAGTGGGACAATGATGAGCCTAAAACCTACCCTTAAAATAGTAGCCAGAATATTTTAATTTCAGCTAGCTACATACAAGTTTAATGAGAATCATGTATGACCTCTACAAGACCTTTTTAGAACCACAAACCCTAATAGGAACCCCCTCTTATATTACTAAAGAGGAACCTTGAGTCCCAGAGAAAATGACTTGCCCATATACTCTTGTTAGTGGTAGATCTGGAATGGAAATTAGTTCTAACCGCCACTTCTAATAACCTTGCTAGCATATCATGTTCCTTGTTTATGTAGATAATGTCTAGAAAAGATTCCCCCTATACACTTAAACATGTTTCCTAATTAAATCAGATTTTATGAAAAAAGATCTATAGTTAAAAATGGTTACGATAACCTTTTTTAGCACAACTTAAACATTTTTAAAAAATAAGATACAAATAAAATTGTCCCCTCGTGATTTTAAAAAGTCCTATGTAAGAACTTTTCAAAGAAATTATATAAACCCTAATCATTACTAAGATAAAATAAACTATGAGTTGATAATTATTGAAGCTGGGCATTAAGTATGTATAGGTTCATATACTACTCTGTCTACTTCTATATGTTTGAAATTTACCAATTAAAAAGTTCCAACAGGCATACTTTAGTTTTAGCGTCCAAGGCAAATAAACCTATGTTGTCCTTGAAACAAAGCAAAAACCTATGAGGAAAAATAAAAACAAAATCTGCATTTTCTGTCCTGTGCTACCAACTCCAACTATAAACATTTAACAAACAGACCATCTGAGAATTGTTTCCACTGTCTAAATTTCCAAGCCCATCATTCCCCAGTTTCCCCACCTTTTAGAGCACACATTCTAAAAACCCATGGTTGCTCACCAAGCGGATAAAGCCAAAGCCCTTATCCTTATGAATGAAGACTTCGCCTGCCTTCCCGTATTTCTCAAATAGTTTCCTCATCTCTTCTTCAGTGATGTCAGGAGGAAGATTGCCCACAAAGAGCCGGCTACGTTGGGTGAAGGTCTTCTCTCCTGGTTTCCTAAAATTCTTCAGGTCAATAGTCAAGCCTTCATCTGAGAGAAGACATACAGTCACTCAAAGGATTGGACAAAGAGATCTACAGTCACTTTCTCAGAGCTACAACTGCTCCCAGATTACTAAACCTAACTGCTGTAGAGAAGTCAAACACCATTTCCCAATGCAATGTATCCACTAACCACTCATCAGTAAATTGTACCTTAAAATGTGAAAGCAGTATGCAGACATCTGAGAGGACTCAATGGCACTACTATGGGCCAGGAGCCACCCAGATTAAGTCAGAGACAGAAAGACAATATAGGATCTATTGGTCAAAGGGAAAATTAAGCAAGTCAAGGAGAATTATGTCAGTAGGGATCAGCTTTTTATATTTAAAACATAATTGCTCCATTTTCCCAATCTCTCACCAATCTTCATAACCATTTTTTTTTAACCAATCTTCATAACCTTAACAGCTCCCATTCTTTCATGCTTAGGTTAATGGAATGAAAGGAAATGAGTTAGGAAACAGTATTCTTTGTAGGGATTTCTGGAAATAAAAGACGGGTAGGTTGGTTTTAGTGTTACAGGCACACAATAGGTGCTCAAAGTTGGCTAAATGAGTGGGAACGTGCCTTTATTTTTTTTTTTTTTTTGAATGTTAGAAGGAACGTGCCTTTAAAGAATGTTTACTCTGATTAAAAACAGGCTGGTACAGACCCCAGGCTAAAAGTATAACACTCAGTACCAGCCTTCTTTTCCATTAAAGGCTTGCTCTATATTTTCTAACTACCAGTCATCTGATGATTACCTCTAAGAACCAAGCTCTGAGGTAAAATACAGACACATCTGTTTGGCAGTAGACTATACCAACACAGCACAGCAACTTGTACTCATCTGCTATCCAACACGTCTGCTCCTTGTTTCAGAGAATCACCCTTTTTCTATCCTAAGAAGTATTAGGAGATAAGTAGGGAAAAGAACAACAAAGGTGTGCCACAAAGGCTTATTCTTATAATCTCAAGACACTAATCTAAAACTACCCACTTACAAGTGTGAACTCACTTTGGCTGCTGGCTTGTTGCCCATTTGCAGGTATTGGTGGCGGTGGTGGCTGTTGCTGTTGCTGTTGGTGGTGCTGCTGGTGGTGATGCTGATGATGCTTCCTTGGAGTATGGTTTTGCTTCTCCAAGTTAAAGGTTTTATTGCTCTGCATTTTTGCACCCTAAAAGGAAAATGTGGACCGTCAAACATTATCAGGGCTTATCAGTCACCTTCCTGATGACATAATGTCACAAATCATCTCTGACGTCCTGGCTTTTGCCAGATTCAAACAACCGGGTATGTTGAACAAGTATAGCAAAAGAGTACCATTCAAAAATCTAAGAACAACCAGACATTAGCAGTTATGTTGCACACAGAAACTAGACAAGTACTGAATGAGAACAGGTTCACGAGAGTAACTGGAGGAAACTTCCAGTTCACTAATTCTAGACATTAATTGGAAGCTACTTTCCTCAAAGAAGCCATCCCCTAAAAAATGGCCCTATCATAATATTAAAACACAATGAAATAGATTCTAGTTACCACAAGGACAAGAACTAGTAGTAAATCTTGTTCTCCAGCACACTGCACAGTCCTAGCCTATAGTAGATATTGTGGAATCAACAGCAGAAAAAGTATGAACTGTGGAGTTAGACTTAGATTTGAAGCATGGTCCTAATACTTAACAGCTATGTACTACTTAGTAAATTACTTCTTCACAAATTCCTTAAGCTGTTATAAAGGGGATAATAAAAATACCTACCTCTCAAGATGGCTAGGAGCATTCATAAATATGTGAAAACACTAGTTCAGTACTGGAATTTGGTAAGCACTCAGTAATTACTGTTATTAATCACAATAGAAAGATAAAGGACTACTAAAGCAATGAAAGCAATACAAAAAGATGAATATACAATTGTAATTTTATTTTTTATTTTTTTTTTAATTTTTTTTTCAACGTTTTTTATTTATTTTTTTTTGGGACAGAGAGAGACAGCATGAACGGGGGAGGGGCAGAGAGAGGGAGACACAGAATCGGAAACAGGCTCCAGGCTCCGAGCCATCAGCCCAGGGCCCGACGCGGGGCTCGAACTCACGGACCGCGAGATCGTGACCTGGCTGAAGTCGGACGCTTAACCGACTGCGCCACCCAGGCGCCCCTACAATTGTAATCTTAAATCTCATCTAAAAAATCAATGTAAGATAAAAAAGAAAACAAAATGAAAATTCCTGGTACAATCCAGACTGAATTCACAAGTTGGTTTTAAAATGGAAATTTTCTAATTGATCTAGTTAACAAGCTGAGAACCATCTTCCTCATTCAAGGACAGTTCTCCAGTAATTAAAGGAAAAAGCCAATCCTCAATCCTTCCCCCTAAACACAAGACCTTCTAGTCAGAGTTTAGCTGAAGGAAAGATGTGGAGAAGGACCTTGTCATGAATACTTGTTGTTTCCATGATATGAATCCTTTAACATTTATTTATTTTTGAGACAGAGAGAGAGAGAGAGAGA